TGAAAGTTCTCGTTTTTAAGAAAGTTCATCGTTTTGATCGTGATCCCCATCGAATCTACGGAAATTCGTTAACGAGATAAAAGGATGATATCCCTCGGTCGTTGAAATAATCACCGCATCGTGAAACGTCAAGAAGAAGCTTTCCCTGGTGTAAATTTCACCTGGCTAGACTTTAGCAGTTTTAAAAGCCTCTTAATAGGATTATGAGCGGAACTTTCAAAGGCCGTGGCTCGTTAAAATGGTGGAAGTTTTTTAAATCAACAGGACAAGTACAGGGAAAGATCTTTGATTTTAACGTCACGAATAAATTTGCTGTTTATACTTAATAAGGATTACCAAGTAGCTTGATAGTTTTATCGTTTTGTTTTAAGAAAAATTTCGAATAAATTGAACGCCTTCCACTTGACACAAATTAATCGAACGATATAATACAAGCGAAAATAAATAAAAGAACAGAACGATAAAAATAACGATGAACTTTTACATTGCTCTAATCTACCAATGACAGACTAAAACGTTCATAAATGTTAGGAGTAAAATGACTCTCACTTGGGTTTGTGCATTCATGTCCTGTATGACGGAAGCTCGGGGAAGAGTGGCATGCTGTTGCTGATGTTGCTTTTGATAATGGTGTTGATGAGGCAACGTGTGAGTTCCCTGGCCCTGTTGGAGAAGCGTGTTGGGATCGTTTGGAGAGCCTTTCATAACGTTCCTGGAACGACGATCGATCGTTACGAGCTTCGTAGCAGTAGTTAGGGATTATGTAATTATTGGTCAACTAAATGCGTCGCTACATTAATGTCAAACAAGAATCATGCAATAGAGTGTATCGAGGGAAAAGGTGGTCATCGATGATGTGGAATACCGAAGGGATGAAAAGCTTATTTACACCATGAAACGAGAAACTGTTATTACTCGAGAAATTATGCACGTCAAACGTACTTCTTTTTTTTTTTTTTTTCTTACGAATGAAGATCAAATCTAAGAATGACGATAAATCTCGTTGCCAGAAACGTCGTGACCACCTTTTCATTGATCTCTTCCACCGTGTATTCGATTACTATACTTACGCTACTTCTTTAAAAATTCAATCGATACGAAGACACAAATAATCAACGTTAATTTCGCGAATATCATTGTCGCAGCAAGTGGAAGAAAGATCGATACGAGGGATGGTTTTAAAAAAAGAAAAAAAGAGAACTCTACCTTCTCAGCATCTCATTCTCAACATCGACGATAACTTGGCCGCCCCCAGGGAAATGAGAGTGTGGCGGAGGCGGCTGTTTGAGTTCGGAGAAACCTCGTGGTCCGCACTGTTGATTCAATATTTGTTGCTGTTGAAGGCTTTTTACCTCGAGCCTCGTTTTGTCCCTTTGATAGTAAACCCCCGCAAATATCAGCACGTTCAAAATCAGCAAACTGCATCCGATCGCGATCGTCACGCTCAAAGCTGTCGAGTACGCGGCATATCTAACGAAAAAAAAAAAAAAACAATTAATTATTTATTATATCCACATCTTTATCGATATCTTTCAAAATCTCTCTCAATTCTTTGAGAATCACAAAAATACTTCGATCATCGAAGATTCATTAAATAATACTTCGATTATGTACATTATATATTGGTTTTCGAATTTCGCCATGTTGTTTCAAAGGTAAGGAAGATAATGGAAAGATTCTTTATTATTAACGTTTTCATTACGTGGAATTGAAATTTTTATCACGTACCCAGCTGCATCCAAATTGGCCAGGGTGTCTATACCGGTGTTATTAATGTTCTGCAAATTCGTGGTCTGAATGTAACTGACGCACGTGGCAGCATTGTAATCCGTGGTGGTCGGAGGTTCGGTGGTTACGTTCTTCCTTTTGAATTCCTCGCTGATTCTGCTCAGAGGATCCGGCCTCACCGATCCGTCGTAGAGGTTGGGATCCGAGTGTCCCCGGAACAAGTTGTGTCTCGAATCAACGTCCTCCATTCCGGCTCGATGAAGTTCTGGGACGAGGCGAAGCCAAACGGATAGTTGATGGGCTCTGTAATGATTCTTCATCTTTGGCCTCATGCCTGCAAGCAATGAAACGGACGAGTAGAAGAGAGTTGGAAAGAAAAAAAAAGTGTAAGATCTTTTGGGAAGGATACAAGAATTTTTACGAGTGACGAAGTTAATCTTTAAATCTCTCTTCAACAGCGTTCATCATCTCGTTTTGTCTCAATGAGGATTTTATTATTAATACCTGTCGGGTTCGGTTGATATTTTTTTATCCATCGATTCAATGGATGGTAAAATACGAACGACGAGTTATGAAATGGCGAGTTAGTTACGCTGATAATCTTTTAAACAGTTTTTGAAAGACGTAGCGTGTATACAATATCGTTAACGGGGCGCAAGACGGGGGGGAGAGGAGTATTCATAAAGCGTGCTTTATTAAAAAAGTTTTAGAAATCGCCTCATCGGAATCTTCATTGTACATTATTAACGTTCTGAAATCCTCTTGACGAGTAATGAAGAATTTACGACCCCGTCATACAACCTGCCTCTCTACCTTAGTCACAACCGAATTTATAACGAAAAGCGTCGATGAAAAGCGTTTTTCGAGAAAAGGAAAAAAAAAAAAAAAAAGAAAAATTCCGTGAATGAGCTGACCGAATGCAACTTTGGCAGAAATTTCATTCGAACAAATTCGAATTGCGTAGTAGTTGTGTTGTCAGATTTAAAGAGATCTTCTTTTCTTTCTTTTTTTTCTTTCTCTTCTCGTCGATATAAATAAAGAACGATTCTCCGTTTAAAATCTACCCTTGGCGAGTAGGAAACGAAGTATATTCCTTTATAATATATATATAACCTTTATAATATTATAATATACATGTATAACTTAGCATATCGTAGTGATATTCCCTGATGTATATGTACAGAAAAAGGAGGGGGGGAGAGAGAGAGAGATATATAATCGGATTAATGAGAAAAATTCAAAGATTAAAAGAACGGAATGGACTTTTTATATAATTATTCCGGATTCCACGTGTGTACGTTCATAACATCTCTGACATCCTATAATTTTGTTAGATTTCATACGCATCTGCTTTTGATGTCGGATGTGGATAGCGAGCGGTTCAGTGGTCGTCGTAGTTTTGTCGACGATTTTCCGTCGCGTTGTACAGCGTTGAAAGATCAGGGTTGTTATTCGACTCTCGAATAACAGGACACGGATACGCGTAGGTGTCGTGGTTGAAACCGGGGACGAGCGAAATTGGATAGAAATTTGGAAATTGCTAGAAAAGTTATGGATCGAGGTTGGCTGGAATTGGAATAGGAGAGAGAAACGTTAATCAGATTCGATTTTTGTGCGGAAAGGGCGGTTTCAAAGCAAAAGGGTGATTAAAGCGAGTCGAACGATTGATGAATTTGTCATTACATTAAGCGACGCGGAAACGATCGACATTTCCAATATTTTTCTGCACCAAACAATGAAATTAATGAAAGTAATCGGTTTATTTATCGATATTCGGATGCGATACGATTTTGATTTATTTAGAGGAAGAGAGAAAGAGATAGAATATTTTCTTCTTTATGATATGCATATTTTTATATATATATATATATATAGAGGAATTCATTTCTCTCTATATTTTCACTCGAAATTTCTCGTATTATTAACAAAATTTTGTTATTTTTAATACGGAAAAATAATAAGTGGAAAAATTATTTTAATTATTAAAACATTTAATTATTTTTCTTTTATAAATCTCAATTTCTTTCCTATTATAATTATTTTCTTTTTCTTTTTTTATTTTTACCTGCAATATATTTTTCCCTGATTTTTCTTTCGATCAAATCAATTTAAGCATCCGTCACAGACGCACACGTATTTACGTATGATTTCACGTATTTTTAATTGGGCGTGGTTCCGTCGAAAACTCAAACCGTGGAAAATTCACAATTTACGATCAGAATTCGCGAAATATCGAAGAATTTACTGTTATTAATCTTTCCAATTTACGAATGTAGTCGCTTGCCAAATAGTACGAGTTTACTTAGCACCCGGAAACAGACGTGAAAAATGATATTGGATGTGATGATTATTGCATACTTCCGCTATGTTTGATTTTCTACATCGTATACGTTTCATCCTTTGATACGAGAATTTCGTTTCACGATATGAAAAAGTGGATTTTCTTTAAGCTTAATGCCGTAATCATATTCTACGGCACGTTCTTCTAGAAAATCGTTATGGGAAAAAAAAAAAAAAAAGAAAAGAAAAGAAAAGAAAAAAAGATAGATAGATAAAAATAATGAAATCCACGCTCGTGTACACTCGTGTCGAGCAAAATCTGCCCTACAAAGAAACAAAGCATCGTTGGAATATCAGCTCTGATAAAACTTGTTCATAGTGAAACACGATAGCGACGAGAATCAGTGAACGGTGAATTCAACTGATAATTACTTAATCTTCTTACTTCTCTCTCTCTCTCTCTCTCTTTCTCTTCTTCTCTCTCTCTTTCCCCCTTTTTTTTTCACATGCAACAGCCGTGGCCGATCGAAAATTGGACTTCACGGTCGCGTGAATTTTTCGGATTGGCCTTCACGTGCTTTTTTTTACAAGAGGGACGACGATTTCTTTCTCAGTCGGTTATCGGCCGATACAGTTGACTGTTCCCAAGTGATAACGACCGACCCGCTCGTTCCATTCAGCCCGTGCACGTCTGATCACCGATAAAATTCATTTTTCTCCCTCTTCTCGCTCTTCCTATTCGGCCCGAATACCGAAGGGACCGTGATTCCATTTTGTCCAAGAGGTATAACCAGAAAGTCGGAAGTAATTCACACGACTTTCTATTTACGGTTTAAATCGCTTCCCCGATATTAAGTCGAATCATCCAATTTTTAAGATCGTTTCCTTGCAATATTTTTTGGATATTCGCAATTTTTTCCCGATCGAACGTAACAAATCGTCATCGGATTTCGACGAGCGATCGGAGAATTTTTCTCAATGATGTTTCGTCGAATCCGAGGATATTTATTACAAGTTGTCGGCCTCGAATTCCTCGATAACCGCGCACGAGATTCCTTTTCAAGCCCGGCTCTCGCAAAACCGGGAAGAAGAAGAACGATCGAAGTAGCGAGCCGCCACTCCGGATTACTTCGGATAGATTTAATGTGATTTATCGCAAATCGAGCCGCTCTAACCGCACTTAAATATTGATGTATGCGGTGTCAGAAATATTCGTGGCGCGCGAGAGGTTCGAGTCGGTCTCACGTATGGATAGTCACGACACCGAGTTGGAATATTTGACAACGAGGAAGGGGGAGGTCACGTGGAGGGAACGCTTTTAAGAACGAGCGAATTTCTCTCCGCCTCCACCATATCTTTAATAGTGTCGAATTTATCGCAAAATGGTGGTGATACGTAGGAGGAAGAAACGAGCTAAGCGAATTTTCTCCATCATTTTTCCGACGCTTCCACGAACGCCGTTTCATCGGTTCATTCGCTCTTGAATTGTCTCTCGACATGTTTCTTTCGCGGCATTCCGTGATATTCTTCATCGATATTCGAAGACTTGGTTTTTCGCCTCCTCCTTGGATAAACGAGGACGACCAATTTTCTTTTCGAAAGAATAGAAGTTTTGAATATTAATCTGGAAAAAGGAGCGATTTTCTCTTTTCTCCTCAAACTCGTTCCCGATGCGATCATCGATTTGATTGTTTGTGAGAATAATTAAAAAAATAATCCTTTAGAAGAATTCAACAGGGAATGGAGAAATTTTTATAGAGCAGTTGGATTTCTTCGGATTGTTATTTGCGAACTTCTTAGAAGGAAAAACGTAGACGAAAGTCTATAATTTGAGGATGTTCTTATTGTTGAAATCTCTGAAAAGACACTCCAGTCGATGAAATAAGCCAGAAAAGCTCGTATATGTGCCTCGTATATAGAGCTAACGACTTATTCTTTTAAGACCCGCTAAAACTTCTGAAGGACATCTTTCCTCCGCAGACGCCATATTCTCTCGACTTCTCGAGAGTCTTTCCCGGGAATATTCCGGAGTTTGGCCCGCTGCACAAAATAAAACCGGTAGAAACGTAGCAGATAAATCGTGGCATAAATGTCAACACGTGTCTCGCGGTATTTTCTGCTTCTGTCGCGATGCGCTTCATCTCCTCGTTCTTTTCTTCCTTCGCTTTTACGGCTTTCATCCACGTTTCGGTTTGTAGTTTCAAATCCAGAACCATCTTCTATCTAACCTTCTCTCTTCTTCCTCTTTTCCTTCTTCTTTTTTTTCAATAATTCTTCGAATCCTTTATAACAAATTACTGTAGAAAGTTGATTCACAGCCTTGTCAGATCCATACTCGATCAACGAGATCGAGAGCAAAAACCTGTATCTCAAAACCTGTATGACAAATCCTCGCGTTTCTTTTTCTCGATATCTTTTTTTGCATCGACGAGTCGCGAAAATCATCTTCGAACAACCAGTGAAATCTGTGCTTTATATTCTTATTTTTAAATAGAAGCTCAGGTTAAGAAAAAACGATTGATTCGACAGAGGAAGAAATAAAATTAGATTTACCCCGTGTTTTATGCTTTCAGAGCTACAGCTTTGAAGTTGATGTTCAAAGCTCGACCCGATTCGATTCACTTACCCTTCCATTTTTCGATTTCTAATCCTCGAAACAATTCGCTGGCCGAGAATTTTATCGGCCGAATCGTCGGCAAGAAACGAGGAACACGTACACTCGACTTTCCACGGTGAATTTTTCTCTCCACCTTTTCGTTAAGCACAATTTTTAAAGACACGGGATTCGTGTTTTCCCCCTCTTGTATTAAATTCCCTCGAAAAGTGGGAGGACGACTTTTCCATCTCGTTACGTATTCCTCCCCGACGATCCTTCCTCCCCCATCCTTTTTACACGCTTTTCACATTATCCGATGAATTTTTTAAATCGCCGTCATTTTCCGTGTTTAATTCATACACCTTTATTAAATCTGACCCGAAGAAGGACCAGTTTCGAGTTCCGTTAATTAAACTCCACCCCCCTCGACGAATACTTCCGACCGTTTGAAATACGAT